ATAATGCCAGCAACATGTAAGAATAGCCAGTTTATATAGAAAATATTTTGCAAACATGTTTCTTTCTCCACAGTATTGTTTCCTCAAAGAGCTTACCTAAAAATTTAAATAAAACTTGTAAAAAAAACAAAGTATCCTAGTCAAAACATGTATGTCCATGGGAGATGCATCTGACATCTAGGAAGTGGAAAGGACCCTGATTCCCAGCGTCAATCCCACCAGCCACAACAGCCCTCTTAAAACAGTGTCTCAGAATTTGTTCAAAAATCATGGATTTGGGCTAAATTTAGCTCAGTAGTGTCGCTGCTTGCCTTGCAAGAACAAGGTCTTGAGTTCAATCCCTGGTACCGAAAAAAAAAAAAAAATCATGGATTCAAATTCAGATGATAGCTTAATTTATGTGGATTCACAAGCTACTTGCAGAGGAAGAGTCCTTTACTTACTGGTTAACTGTGAGAAATGTCATACTAAATTGAAAACTGCTTAGATTATTAGAGAGGAAAGCACAATACTCTAAAACAAGTACTTCCATCCTAAACTGACATGTAAGGACAAAAACACACACAAAAAGGGGGGGCAGGTAACCTGTTCAATAAACATTTCTTCAACAGACATTTTGCCCTGGACAAGTAGAAAACACACAGAAATTTGTCTTGACAAAAGAACTCTCAGTTAATCTTTTCATTACACCATGCAAATCTGAATTCATTTTTAAACTCAGTAAATAGTCTTTAGGCCATCTAGATAGATACTTTTTTCCAAGATAAGCAAAACTGAGTATTAATATGTCGCTATCATTTCAATGTACAGTAATAAAGTATAACTTTTCTGCACAAACTTCAGTCATGCAAGTGAAGATAGGTTTTTTTTCTTTTAGTTATGAAGTTAAAACATTTAGTAGGAAAAGAAAATTCAATGTCCCCGTCTCTTGCCAGCCCAAAAAAGTTAAATTAAAAATCTTAGTATTGGCATCAGTGATTTCCATCTGTCAAAGGGGTCTCTCAATAATTTTGAAGATCTTTCCCTATTTACCAAATTAGTTGGTATTGCAAATCATAAACAATAAAAAGCCATTATTTTTTCTTGCTTTTATTTGTCATTCTCTATTTCTATGGTAAGGATGAGGAAAAATGTATGTTTTTTTAAAAAAATTTTAATACAGTAATACTTTATCACAGCCCTCAACAAATGCCAAAGTATTTTCATACCCAGTATCTTCCATACCTGCTACCAACACTGGGGCTAGACTGCCCAATTCTGGTTTCTGCTACCTTGTGTGACATGGAAGAAGTTATTTAACCTCTCTGTACCTCATTTTCCTCACCTATAAAGTAGGGATAATGATAATTCTTGTACCTGGAAGGACTGCTACAAGGATTAAAGTCATACAAGTAAAATAGTTCAAAGAGTGCCTAGAATATACTACTTCCTATATAGGTATTGGTTCTTTTTAAAAAATTACCATTACTCATATTTGTAAAGATAGGACAACAGATTATCATTTTTCCCTTTAAGACAATCAAGGCTCAAAGAAATCGAGATATATACTGTAATTTTAAAGATAATAATCACTCACCAATATTTAAACACTTAAATAATGGTAGTCAAACTGAGAATGAATGTTTTGTTTTGTTTTGGTTTTTGGTTAGGGTTAGGTACCAGGGATCGAACTCAGGACTTTGCGCTTTCAAGGCAGGCAGCGGAACTGAGCTAAATCTCCGGCCAGAAAATGAATCTTTTATCCACAAGAGCTGCATTTCTTTTACATATTTTAAGAGAAATGAATCAGACTTCTAAAAAAAAAGTATGCAGCAAATAAGTACACTAACTAGAGACAAGGTGAACCTGTTATTAGCTCTCCGGGATTTAGAATCAATTTTAAATACTAAAATGTATACCCCATGAAATTTCACTATTTCTGGTTATAATTTATGTTATGGAATAGAAACAGCATGGAATTCAGAGTCAAAATTCAAATTCCAGTTCCATCTTTTATAAGTAGGGACACTGGATGATCATGTCACTTCTCTGGGCCTCAGTTACTTATCAAATTAGGACCTACTTTACAGGGCTGATATGAGAAGTAATAGAAATGTGTATGTAAAACAGCTTTATTACTATAAAAACTACACCAAAACATATTAGATTTAAAATTACTGGTTGAGATTACATTGAGACATACACTGAATAGGCATTCATTTATTTTTTCATTAACAATTTTCTTCCTCAAAAAATTGCTGACAGAAGTCTTCCACTATAGTATTGTCTTAAACATTTATTGAGTAATTATGTAAGGTGACAGTTTGGATTACTCACTGTGATTCATGTGAAAGAGAAATTAGGTAACCTGCATAGTACCTACTTTAGTATCATGCACTGAAAAAACTCAAAAGCTGAGCATGAGGGCTGGGGATTTAGCTCAGTGGTTCCGCCGACTGCCTCGCAAGTGAAAGGACCCGAGTTCAATCCCCAGCACCAAAAAACCAAAAAAAAGGTGAGAATGAGAAATAAGAGAATAGATGGCAGGTATGGTGGCCCATACCTGTAATCCCAGCACTTAGGAAGCTGAAGCAGAAGGACAGACACAAGTTTGAGGCCTGCCTGGGCTACATAAAGAGTTCAAGGCCACCTGAACTACATAGCAAAATCTTATCTCAAAAAAAAGCATTTTTTAAAAAAGAACACAGACTAAGTGACAATCATATGCATTTTCCTTTCTGATTTTAAATTCAAATTTGTAAACATTTCCATTAAACCACAAGGAAACTGTAGACTTACACAGTACCTAGTAATCTGCAAAACATTATACATGTTTTCAAAACATTTCACACATATTATCATAGAAACATAATTAACATCAGTCTGCTTGTTTACAGAGTATTTTAACATACATAAGACATCCACTCTTAGGCAAGTTCCTTAACTTTAGTATCAAAACATAACAAATGAAGGAGTCACACAACATAAGGTCCCTGTTTAGAGTAATTACATTTATGATTCTGAGTCAATGGGTACAAAAAGAAAAATTTAATGGAAAGAATATCTACAATTGCAAAGTATAAGCTTGCTAGAAATAAATTAGCTATTTAAAAATAACATTTTTAGGCTGAGGGTATAACTCAATGGTAGAGTGCTTGCCAAGCATGTGCAAAGCCATAAGTGCAAAAACAAATAATACTTTTAAAACAATTTAATTAAAATGTATTCAAAATACTAAAAAGGGGTAATAGTATTTTAAGATTAAACTTTTAGTAATTTAAGCATTACAAAATATTTCCAAAAATTGTCTATGTTTACCAATATGAAGTTAAGTCAGTAGTTTTCAAATTACACAAAACAATGTAAAATATATACAATACTAAAATTAGTTCAAACGTTTATAGTTCAAAAAACAACCTTGGAAAAGTTCAGTCCCTCAGATATACTGTCAATATAAACTATAAAAATTTAGCGTTATAAACTTAATTTCAATTATTTATGGTCTATTGATTGGTAAAGGACCAGATTCTGTAAAAGAAAAACTACTCAGAATAGTGTACTAGACAGAATCCAAGGAAAAAAAATAAAGTTGTAACAGTAAGCTGTACATAGTATAGATTACCAAGTACCTATTTACCTAGCAATATGAAATTTGTGCCTACTATTGCATTCAAAAAATGAAATTAGACTAAAAAAAAAAAAATGAAATTAGGCCGGGGATTTAGCTCAGTGGTTTTGCCACCTGCTGCGCAAGCTCAAGGACCTGAATTTGATCCCCGGTACCAAAAAATACATGAAATTAGATCCTTCATTTTGGAACTATAAAATTTAAATCATGATAGAAATAATATCATGGATACAAAAAACAAAGTTTTTTTTTCCTACACCAAAATCAGACAATATCTGACTTAAAGGTGGAGAAACGGTACATGCTTTTCATGCACATAATCAATATGAGCTTTAGTCATTTTTTCAGTTACAGGGATGGACTCGTTACAATTTTACTTACATATGGTATATAGGGAGGTTTTTAGACATGAAACACAATGAAGCTATCTGGCCCAGTAAAAAATATGACTTGAATTGGTAAAGTCTAGAAATGAAGGGTCAGGGGATAATCTTTAGCACTAAATACCTCTGTGCCCTTGGAGGAAAGACCATTAATATTTTCTAACCTTCTAACATATATTGCGCCTTTAGGTAAATTATTAAAATTTTCTAGGTCTATTCCCTCATCTGCAAACTTTCAGAGCTGGACCAGACCAAAAAGCATCTGGCTCAATGCTTCTCAAACTTTTAAGTGCAGGTCCTTGGGCCTACTCCCAATGATTCAGAACCTAAGCTGCTAAATGAGTTGAAACTTAAGCTAAATGTTTCCTAAGCACCACATGTAATTTAAATATATAGGCAGAAACAATAAATGAACAACCTCTTATGCTCCTAACAATATGAAAAGAACTGGTCTCAGTGCCAAACTCTTAGGAACTCAGGATCTAGCAGATCCACATATACAGGACATAGTAAATACTAAACAAACATTATAGAAGGAAAGAAAGGAAGGAAGGATCTGGTATGTGTCGGGGGGGGTGGTATTTGCTAGTTAAGTGATCATATTTTGGGCCAAGAAACATACAAAATCGTAGCAAAATGAAACTTGGGTAAAATACACAACATTCATCAGCAGCTCAAAAGCAAGGATCTCAGTCTCTACATAAATACAACTTTGAATATAACATGAAACCTTGTTATCCTCTTCTCAGCTCCAAAATACTAAGGAAGTAAAGAAAGAACATAATACTACATGGAAACCAAAAAAAATTTTAAAGAAAAATTACTGGATGACTAAAAATCACTGCTTTCTCCAGGTAGAAGAAAACACAGAATTTTAGGACAGGAATTAAACTTTGAAGTTACTGATTACTAATACGCACAAATTTCATCTGCCATAATATGAGGATTCCAGAAATACTGTTTACAATATTAGTTTCTGTCCATTTTGTTGTATTTTCCCATTCACTTACATTATAATTTTTGAGATGTTTTATCTTCACTTCTGATGATCTTCAAATGCCAATGGCTCTTAACACATTAACTGTAAACAAACACAAAGGAACTTAAGGGAATTCAGATATGTATTTAAGGAGCCCTAGTATCAACTATTCTAAATTATTGTTCTGTGTAAAGCCTGTGGGAGGCAGGAGGGCAGGAACAGAGACTTTGGTATTATAATTTGGTTTTGTAATTTATCTGATCTTCAAAATGAAAAACTTTTAAATAAAAAATAAACTACCCTCTTAATCAGACATAGAATAAAAAAAAAACCCTATTTTCTCTCTGAAGAACATTCAACACTAGAGAAAATTCTCTCCAATGTGAACTCTCAATTTGTTACTGCATTATGTATCTTTATCCTTCTTCATAAAAATATGTCAAGAAAACTCCACATCACTACCACCCAATCAATTTGCCCTGGAACTGCCATCAAACTATAAAACATAGGTCTAGACATGGACACCAGATCTTCAGGTAAAATCAGTTCTTTAAAGCACATAAACCTTGCAGTCGAATAGACCTAAATTCAAATGTCAAACTATTCTCCCTAGTCTTCAGATTTCTTATCTGTAAAATGTAAAAAGCAATACTATCTATACAATTATGAGTATTATATGTGCAAATACACAAAGAATTTAGCACCTTACCCAGCACATAAGCCCACAATATGTTGTCCTATTATTTACATTATTAATATTAACGTATTGATTTATTACTATAACAACCATCTAGGATTTGAAAAGCAAGCTTATCTCGGGTGTTTCAATTTTCATATACTGCCTGAGGTATAATGGAAGAATGTTTCTCATATTAGTAACAGGATATCTGCACCGTACAAAAAATTCGTTTTTATTTTTGCAAGTATCTTGACTGAGCTCCAGAAAATTAGTACAAAATAATTATTATAACTATTCTAGACCAGTTATTTTCCTTTTTACTAACACACAAACTCCTGACAAAACTCTGCCTGAACAACAGCTCATTTGCTGCTATACAGAAAAGGCAATTCTGCTGAGAAGAGAGTTGGATATATTTATGATTTAAGTCTATTAAGCTCTCTGAGTATGATGAATAAATTGTCCTATCAATCCAGAAGAGACTTATCTACCCTTCTCTACCCACTTCCAAAAATTAAACACCCTGTGTTCAAAATTACATGTTTAAGCTATTAATATTTAAGTTAGGTGAACCAAGAAAGTATAAAACACTGATATCTCTGGATTTTCAATAAAATTTTTAGATCAACAATATAAAAACAAACATGAAATATATTGGCAGAAGCATTTACAAACTAACATGGCCTAAGACAGTCAAGTTTTATTTCCCATATGGAGGGCACATGCTTAGAACTGAAACAACAGAAAAATACCAAAGTACAACCTAACGCAGAATTCTGGGAGGAAATAAAACATATGTACGTTATTCAGAAATGGACAACAAACCAGAGAGAGTAAACACAGTAGGCCATAAATCCCATTTCCACCACTACTTTGCCATGCAATTTCTTCAGCTCTTCAAATGAAATATAAAAATGAAATAATACAGTTGATCATTCCTCATTTGATTTCTATTTGCCTGGCACTTAACCATCTAGCAATATTACATGTGTTACTTTCATTTCATGATTCTAGATTAGGATTATAAAAGTCTGGCCCAAATAATAGTACACAAAAAAGTTAAATTCAAGACTTCAAGGTGTTTCAAAATAGAGGTCTCACAAGGTGTGCTGGCACATGCCTGTAAACCCAACCCTCCTTGTTGGAAGACTGAGGCAGGAGAATTGCCGTTAAGTTTGAGGCCAGCCTGAACTACATAGTGAGTTCAAGGATAGCCTGAACTACACAGTGAGACCCTGTCTCAAAAAAAAGCAAAATACAAGTCTCTTTTTTGGTTTACCATAATACATCACCTCTCTCCTTCAGTGTAATTATCTAATTACTATTTTGGTCATCATATTTGCAAATCTAAGAGTGTCTCTGGTATAAATAAAATGTTCTAGATTTCAACTGGAAAATATCTTTCTTATTTTTAAATAATTCACTTGCATACTATCAGAGAACCTGTTGACTATCTCCAATACCCATTCTCATCTATTCCTTAGTGACAGAATCTCTAATTTTTAGCTCAGCAGAAGGCCTCATGGAAGAGATTTCATGTCCTAGCCTCTCTTGCTATTTATAAACATTCTACCTTACAAGGGCCAACAGGATGTAAGCTTGAAAACTAATGTGACTGCCCAAAGTTTCCTTAAAGAGAAGTATTATGTCCTTTTCCTTTTCCCCTGAAGAAGCAATGGCTAAAGTTCCAACAGCAATTTTGGTTCATGAGGTTAACCTTTATACTTAGATCCATTATATCAGATTTGTATTGACTATCTAAATATCTCTTGTTTTAAAACAATGTTAGTCTAGATTTTCTGTTATACTCAGCTAAACTTGAAACCTAAAGTTAGGGGCTAAGGGTGTAGCTCAGTGGTACAGCATTTGCCTAGCATGTATGAGGCCCTGGGTTCAATCTCCAGCACAGCAGAAAAACAGATAACATAAAATAATAATAAAAATAAAATAAAGCCCAACTTTTAACAAAAAAGACTTTTTCAAATATCATTACTTAGATTTTTTTGAAGCTTATATGTTAAAGAATATGCTAGAAGTTCATTTTTATTACATTTAAAACAGTACAGTATCTGCCCTTATTTAGTCTAAATTAAAAAGTATTTATAAAACCCAAGAGTAATTCATATCAAATAAGAATATCTCAAAGAATAAAAAGACATCAGTGGTTACTGCCACAGCTCCCATGTACACACTCAGTCAAAGGCAGAATTATGACACTTGCTCTTTAATGTTATAGTGATGACAACATTGATACAAATACAGATAAGCACAAATATAGTTCTGTATAATAAAGCTAGGGAAAAGAAATTGAAGTTACTATTTTCATAAAGAGGGCATCTTTCATTTTCATAATCTGTACCAATCTTTTCTCTTTTTAAGAGTTCCATTTTTAATGTAACTTTCTGTGGAAAGCAGGCTTATAATATCATCCCTTATCCCTGACTCATTAAAGAGTTTTTAATACTGGGGGCCGGGGATTTAGCTCAGTGGTTCCAGTGCCTGCCTTGCAAGTGCAAGGTCCCGAGTTTGATCCCCAGTACCAAAAAAAAAAAA